GAAAACTTTCAATAAGTTTTCTAGAGGTGTTTCTGCTATCATTATCTCTTTCGTTCCATAATTTTTAACAAACATAAACATGATACGATTAGGTTTTTGAAGTTTTTATCGGCGATGAAAACTGTGAAAATAATTAAAGGTTAATTGGTCGATGTGCTTTGCAGTAAAATGGTGATTTAATTGAGTAAGTCATGTCATTCTTTTAACAAGAATGTAAAAATATGTTTGTGTTTAAAGACATTCATAGTACATTTTCTACCTCTAAAGAAGTCTAAAAAATTTATATGTTAAAAAGTAAAAGAAAAGAAATGAAATAAAAAATAATAGTGTATGTTTAATATCTTCTCATTTGAAAAAGGTTAGCCCAGAATTAAACATGTGTACAGTATTTGGTATCCCTTAATATATTGCCTGGTTTTCTGTTTGACCAAACTCATTAATGAGACCACCCCGCTATTAAGACCAGATTTGTAAAGTCCCTTCATTGGTCTCATTAGCGGGTTTTTACTGTAATTCCGCCCGGACAGCATAATTCCGGTTGGAATACATGAAATTCCGCCCGAACAAATTTTTTAAAATACATTTTTTAATAAGAAAAAAATTTAAAAAGCTTTAAATGAAGTCAATTATTAATAATTAACATTAAATCTATCGGATGAAATGATTTTTGAGTGTTTAGGGCAAGTATAAATGGTAGTGAAGTTTGTCACTATCCCGGTGGTGCAAAGATTTTCCGGTGGCTGTTAATTGTGGATTATATTAGCTATGCAACGCAGTATAGTTTTTGGATTTTTTTTATTTAATTAGTGGAAAATCTCGCATGAATTTGAGGGTGATCGAAAATTCTCTATTTAGCGAGTAATGCCCCTTGTCTATATTTATATAAATTTTATAAGGTTATGACTAAAATCTCATTTTAAGGTCACTATCAAGCAGTATATACCATCCAAACACTGTGTGGGCCCCCTGTGATTAAATCATGTATAAGTGATGAAAATTGTGGAGTTTGTGGAGGCTTCCAGCCCCTACCACGAATCTGTTGGTGTTCTTAATACGAACCTCTCAATATCTGTGACATAAGATTGTTTATTATTGGTGTGTGTGTGTGTTGGTGTGCCCGTGTGTATTGGTGCGTGCGCGCGTGTGCGTGTGCGCACGTGCGTTCGTTTGTGGGTGTGCTTTTGTGTTTTTGCCTAGCTACTCTCTTTATGAAATAGTATTATCTTGCACAACTGGAACCGATAAAGTGAGGTAGAAAACACACTCTTTCAGTCTTTCCACGAGAATGCACCTTTTTTTCAATCAACATGATGTACCTACGCACCCTATTACCTTTAATATTGGATCCTTCCTTGTCAAAAATTAATCAATTTCTATTTATAGATTGCTATGTTTGTTTCAGTAGTCCGCGCATATTAATCAGTGATGACACGATTTTTTATTGTTTTTTTTTATATTTGTTTCTGCTTTAGAGTAGAGTTATAAAATAATAGTGGTTAAATGGTAAGATTTTTATTTATTGTCATTTGATTTATTTCTACTGTATATTCGTTGAAAAAATGAAGTATGTAATTTTCCTGCCGGAAGTGATAGCAGACGACAATACATTTTTTTCAGTTTTAGCTTTATTTTATTTCAAATTATCAATACACTGCAGTTAATTTATTTAGCTTGTATAAATTTTTTTATTTACACATAATTTTAACAAGATCTTTAATTTTTATATCTTATTTTCATCTGGGTTCTGAAAAGGAAGTCAAAGTCTAGGCTACAGTATACTTGAGAACAAGAAGGTCACTTGTGACTTTAGTACGAGAAAGGGGACGGGGCAGGTGGGGTGGCTACTTTGTAAGAACCAGGTTATCCCTATGCTAATTTAATAACTTACGGACACAGGAACATAGCAACCGTATTTGTGTTTTATTGTTTATTAATACTAATTTAACCCATACAATAATAAACATCGTCAAAATGACAGATGATGTGTTTCAAAGTATGCAAATATTCAATAACCCATTTTAATGGCTAAGCACAATGGCATCTTCTCGGCACTTTCCGTCAAAATTAAAACACAATACTTAATATACTAGTATCAAGTTAAACTCTCTCAAAAATAAGTAAATTCATAGATATATACTATATTAAAAGGTTAACAGTACGTTGTTTAAATACTTATTATTATAGTTGAACAAACCGGAATGAAAAAAATGCCAACCTATTGAAATAGAGTCGAACATGTTTATAATTGTACACCAGCAAGCATTTTCGAATTAAAAATGTTTCAAACAAATTTTTAATAAAAATTGTACCGGAATAGGCATTTTTATTTCATGCTTTCCAGTGTTTTATTGTAATATATCAGATGATTATATTCTGATAAACCACTAGTGAAATTTATAAAATATAATTTTCACTGTAGCCGGACTATATCTGAATGCGGATGAAAAGAAAATCAAAACTGAATGGAATAACAGGCAAAAATAAATGCCGTCATGAGTAAATTTTGCTTCTCTCGGAAAAGAAAGTCGAGGTCACCATACATTATGTTAAAAATGTAACAAAATTAAAGAAATTTAACAGAACTATATTTCAAACTTGTTTATGTGACGTCATGGTGTGATGACGTCACGAAGGAGAATGCGCGACGTTATGCGGCAAAATCAGTAAAAATTACTTAAAATCACTTAAAACGCATGAAATAAAAAGAAAATTTATTTGTTTTACATATAAGATTGAAATATATTTCATTCGTGAACACCAGCTATTATATTTTCACTCGTGGCTATGCCACTCGTGAAAATATTGCATCTGGTGTTCACTCAGTGAAATTATATTTCAATCTTACATGCAAAAGAAACAAATATCCTCTATTTATTACATGCTTTTTGGTGGTTTATAGAAATACATCAGTGAAATATAAAATAAATAAGTTCACTGTTGAATAAATTTGATAATTTCACTGTTTTAGAATTTAAGCTCCTTACGTTGTTACCACAGGCACGAGTATCGGACCTGGAAAGAAAAAATATGACCAGATTGATAAAAAAAACCTGTGTTCATCTTAAAGGTTAAGAGTAGGCCGGAAACTCATCTTAAAAGTTAAGAGAAGGCCTGAAACTCCAGATTCGAGCCTACGAGCAAGGGATTCATTTCCCGGACCGTTGTGAAAACAATTGGCCAGAGAATTAAATAAAACTTTTATCGCTATTTCACGTTTATATTAAGCTTCAAAATGAGACCAACCCCAAGTCTCTAGCCCTTCCCGTTCATGAAAGATCTATCAGGAAACGAGCAAATTCGTGCTAAAAATCCTTGGTAGACAGACTTGCGGCACAACAATTCGGTACGTAAACATAGACTAATACATGTATGTCAGCTGAGTACGGGTCAAAATCACTTGAATTTACTAAATAATATTACTAAATACATTAAGTTGGAACACTCACAACCGTGTATTATTATAGATGTAGAAATATGATTTTTTTTTCAAAACGGCTTATATCGAGTTTTTTGATATATATGATCAGTACATGTGCTGGGATTGACAAATATGCATTTTATTTGGATTTTAAAAGCGTTTGAGCTCCAAACCCCAAGTGTCTGTGATCTTACACTGGACTAAACAAATATCCTCTATTTCTCTGGAAAACAAGTATTAACATCAGTTTTACATAATCAAAAGTTACTCTTACACCTAAAACCACTACAGTAACTTTAATTTTATAGTCTGATTTTATTGAGAAACATTATATCTTATTATTTAAATATTCGATCCAACTCCGGTTTTGCCAGTGTAATGTTAAGCATTTATATGGAAAATATATCCATAATGTTTTGAAAAGTCACACTAGCTGAATACGAGTCGTCATCACATCAGCAAAAGCACGATCGCTTAAGTGATTGCCTTATGTAACAGAGGTCTAGGATTCGATGCTTTCTGCTGTCATATTTTTCTCTTTCTTCATTGTTCCAGTATATTTCAATAGAAAATGTCAAAGTGTTTGCAAAATTGTAGACACGGATGTGATCCGACTGAATTAATTATTAAACGATGTTATTTAAAATAATATTATAGACGATACCAAAATAAGTGCATAATATATAAAACAAAAGCAAAATAAAAACAAGTATAGACTAGTTTATAAATATAAATAAGAGAAAAAAAAGACTTATGCGGCCTCGTTATTACAAGACATGCATATTAAACAAACCAGAAGTTTTCCCCATTGCGCTATAACGCTCAGTATATCTATTTTACAGAAACAAATAAAATTATTAATAAATACATGTTAAATGGTATCTAACGATCTTTGGCGAAAAACTCCCAAAGATTTATATATTGTGTGCATTGACAGTGTAACCAGTATGCAATTGACATGCAATAATTCATATTGAGTCCAAGTTTATTATGAACATTAGCCGAGGGATTCCGATTGTGACTTAACTATAATGATTGAGAAATCAGGAGGAATCATTATATATTAAACACGTAAGTATGTCAAATTATTATTAAGTATTAACATTCCGACAAAATAGTATTCCTTGCTGAGACATTTACTTCGAAATCCCCCTAGCTATATCCCCTTTTCTCCCGCCTACCCCGGATTTTGCGAAAATTTGTCCATGTACAGTTGACATGTGCATTATACGGATACCTTGTGCCGTTTTGAAATTTTACATCTACATTATCACATACATTTCTTATGTTTTAATTATATGAATGAAGACGGACAATGTTTATTACAAGTATACGATGTGTTAAATATTACGATGAAAATACTTAGTTTTGTATATGAATTCATGCAAGTTTAGCTATATGCATTGTTAAAGTTTAACAAACCACATGAATATAGTGTAACATATCTACTTATCTCATGTCGTATATATTATCTTATCCTAACCATGCAAAATTGAAGTTAAGTATTCTCAGTATGCTATAATTATATTATATAGAAAGATATGTCTCTGATTAACATTTTCTTTTTCTACTCTATTTTCAGAACTTCAAGGGGACCTGATTAAATTCTACAGAAAAAGGTGTAGTTCAATACCTCTGTCACAGCTTCTTGAAGAAATAGAGACACCCCTAGCTGGGTTCTATGTGATGCCAGAAATAGTCGCCGTAAAACAGAAGTCCCTAACTTGTCATGAAGAGGAAAAAACACCGATCAAGTCTTTGAAAGACCTGTTTTCAACCGGTGGTGGAGATCAACAAGAAATTTATCTATTAGCTGATGCAGGCTTTGGAAAAACTGCATTTTCAAAATATCTTTCAATCACGTGGTGCCAAGCTCATTGTCACGATGAAAACTATGCCTGTTTTAAAGACGACGAGTTAAAGACGTTATTTGACTTTAAATTCTTATTTTTGGTTTTATTAAGAGACTGTACCTCTGTTTGTAACATTGACGATATGATCGAACAGCAAATTACCAAGAAACTTCCTTCCTCTGCAACACTGAATGAAGTTTTACGTAGAGAAAAATGTTTGATTATATTAGACGGTCTTGACGAATGGACTCACCCTGCAAATAGTTGTGGCGAAGTATCAGACAAAATCCCACATCGGTACGTACGTGATAATTGTGTTATCCTAACGACAACCCGACCGTGGAAGCTTGGAGTTTCAAATCTCAAAACAAGTCAAATAAACAAAAAAGTGGAATTGGTTCAATTAAGTGCAGATTCTACCCGGCAACTAGAAGAAAATGCTATAAGGAAAATGACAGGTGTCCATAACGATAGAGTATTGAAAAGTAAAATACAGGACTTTAATAAAGTGATACATGACCGTCGCCTAGAGCACATGCAAGTGATTCCACTCCTCCTCATGTATATAGTTTGCCTATGGTGCAACAAAATTCCTATAGGAAATTCAAAACATGAAATTTACACCAATATCATTGAATTTCTATTATCTAGAACGTCAAAGAAACACCCGGAAGTTCAACCATCTCGTGAATCGTCTGCCAGTGAAATTCCAGAATACTTCAAAAGTCATGAATTCTGTAAACATTTTTACAGTCTTATAACATCATTAGCGGAACTAGCTTACCAAACATTATTTCACGAAAATAGAGAAAACACGCTTGTATTTGATAGAACGGTTGCTGAAAAATATCTCAAAGCAGACGACATGAAAATAAGTCTTCTCTCAGGAATACTATCAGAAAGTAGAAGTAAAACATTAATCAAAGAAATTATCAAAGTATCGTTTTCTCACAAAACAGTTCAAGAATTCTTTGCCGCCATATTTATAAGTTCTCAAAGTGAATCTCAGAAAACTGTTGTAGAAAAATGTAGAAATGTTCAAGACATTCTTAACATGTCAAAAATTTGTGAATTTATAAGTAAAATGAATGCTGACCTGGTGTGTGCAATATCAAATGATTTGATGTCTGTGATAAATGAAGACGAGAAAACACGCGACTATAGAACTAGGACAACAGGTGACCGTGACTCATTGTATAACATACAGAAAATGTTCATGTCGTGTTTACAAGAAATGCCTGAAAGTGAAAATATTCAATTATGTTTACAAGATTTCTTCATTGACGAGGACATCGAGGTGCACAGTTTGCAGTTACAACGTTTATTAAAACAAAATAAAACCAACCTAAAATCACTTTGTATAAACATCAGAGAGACTTCCAGTAGTTTACGTGAAATTATATATTTATTCTCTCTCACAGATCTCAGTCATATACAGAAACTTTACTATCGTGGTGACGGCGAGAAGGAGACTCAGATAAGTCGGATTTTGTTTCCCAGTTTACAGTACGTTACTTTGTGCTGGGGTAAATGGACAAATGGTGAAGAAACTCTGAGTGGAAACATGGCGCGATGTCAAAACTTACAATATTTAGATATTTACAACTTCACGCTATCTCACAAAATACTGGAAACAATTTTCAATTTTATCTCCAGTCAAAAATCAATGAAAGAGTTGACATTGTTGATGTTAGTCTGTAAAGAACATGGCCGCCATGATTGTAAGAGATTGAACTTGGACTTGTCTCAACATTCAACTCTATCAAAGTTATACTTGCAGCAGTTACCTGGGAGGCTACAATTAAATATATCAACACCGTCATTAGTTTATGTTACGTTGTCGAACATCAATCTAGATAAAAGTTCATTGTTACTGTCACGTGACATGTTGAATATTGAACGTGTGGTGTTGGAGGAGATAGAAATGTCTGCAGGAAGTTTACAGAACTTTATTACCGTGTTGAAAAATCTGCCGCAGTCAGTTACAGTAGAGATGGAAGCCATTACACCGGAAACAGAATATGACCGTGTTAGAGAAAATATTCGGAGATCACAAACTTTTCATGTGATAGAAGAAGGCAGCATGTTTCAGTTCAAAACAATAAAACCAAGCAAAGAATAGACAAGGAAAAACATTGTGAAATAAATTGAAGAAATAACTTCAATAATTTTAAATAATTTAAATATGGACACTTACAAACAAAATGGCGACTCTTCAATCTTAAATAAGGACATACATGTACTTCCGTTTACAATTAATAAATTAAGTGACATTTGTTTATAAATAAAAACATTTAATTAATAGAAATAATTTAAGGAAGTTTTTACGGAATTCAATGGATATAAAAGTTGGATTAGGATATTGAAATATTTCACAGGTAAGTGATTTTGTATTGAATGTTTTATTTTTATTATTTTTGTATACATTCATATGTAAGAACTAAAATAGATTGTTAACAGTGAACAATACTCTTATATATTACCTTTTACTGAATAATATAATAATATAAATAAATCAACCTATTAAATATTTTACATGATTTTTTATTCTGGAATTAGATTATTTTCATAATTAAAATGAAGCCTGTTATAAACATAGACTATTAACAGATACACAATACATGATATACGTGCACTTGTTTATTAAAGGGTACCGGACCAGCGCATACATGTATATAGTTATAGATCTATGGTGTAGTAAAACATAATGTAGATTAAAGTGAATCTATTTTAAACTTTTTCTGATAACTTAAAAGCATTGCTTCTATTATATTGATGTTGTTCATTTTTTGTGAATCTAAAAATAAAAAAAAATGTTTTTGTAAATTCATACTTCAGAAAAGTTTTTTTATTCATTGTTTAAGTAAGCTGTTTTTGTTATGTCATATTTTTATAAGGTACGTATTTGTAATTTATGATAAAGTCTATTTAACCTTAACATGTGAGCCAAGCGTGTTCAATTACAGCCTTGGGGTATAAATTTGACCACCCAGGGAGTTCAATGAGTTTCCTTTTATGTTTACAGAAATAACTGTAAACAACTTCTTTAAAAAACACTTGGGATAATGCTTAAACATTTGGTATGAACCATTATCAAGTGTACCTCTACCAAGTTTATACAAGCATAGCCCGGGGGTCAAAAAAAGGCCAGGCTACGTGGGGAATTGGGTAATTGGTCATAGGTATTCCTTATTACTTGCAATAGAAACCAGTGACTTCCATACAAACAACTGACTTTCCATAACAACCAGTGACTTCAAAAGCAACCCCTGAAACCATTAGCAACAATCGATTTCTATACCAATTATTGATTTCCCAAAGAACCAGTGACTTCCATTGCATCAACTGACTTTCCTTAGCAACCATTGACTTTCAAAAACACAAATTTATTTCAGAGCTAGTATTAGCTTCCAAAATAACAATTGAATGTTTAAGCAACCAGTAACTCGTTTTACATGTGCACTATTTCAGATGCAGATAGAAACTTTGCGATCTTATCAGTTTAAGATTTAAAATTTTCTTTTCTGCTTTTCATTCATAAATAACAATATTAATTAATTGTTTCTTGTCATTTATTTAATTAATTGTTTCTTGTCATTAATTTAAATGCCTTTATGATATAATCAACTTAGCGATATAAAAGCAACTACATGTTGATATAAAATAATAAGATAATGTTTTGCATAAATTCCCCTATTTATAAAATTTGCGTTTTTTATCATTCCAGCGGCCTTGGATCAAAATTTCAAATTATTCATGATGCAGAATCTCTTGTGACGTTTTACCGTTATGATTTATGTGGTGATAGATCAATTTTACTGGGACTATGGGATATGTTTTGAAGAACTTCTTAGGAAACAGAAATTTCATGTTCCTTGCTTTTCAAGGTAAGACTTTAAATTATCTTTATTATTGACAGATCAATAAAATCCATATTTAAGATGAAAGAGTAAAAATCAAAAGTGGCATGAAAATATGCAAATTGTGACTAATTCTGGAAGGAACGTTTTCAAATTTATTCCGGGTTCTTTAAGCTTATGTTTGTTTAAGACATCTAAAATGTAATATGATATTAGTTGTTTAAGACGGGTAGTTTATGGCAAATGCACGTAAAGAAAGCGTAAACAGCGCAATTATTGTTTAAAGTCGTGCACCTTTAATGGGCATTATTTTAAAGGTATCTATAGTATTATAAAAAAGAAGCCCAACTACGCGAGTTAGAAATTATTATTATAGAAATGAATGAATTTCTTGCTTAAAATAACAATAACAATTTTTCATCTGCTTCACGGAAGGTTGGTGGAACTACTTTAATGTTTGCTGGTTTCCAGACTCTTAACCTGCCAGCGGCTACATATGTGTAGATACATATGTACCAATGTGACCAGATATCATCTTTTTATTTGCTTTGTTATATTTAAAATTTTTGAAACATATTTTTGCAAAGCTAAAGGTCTTCAGCTTATCCGTTTATAAACTACCCGCCTATATGACTGAAATACTTTTAATGAAGAAAAAAAAAAAAACAAAAAAAAAAACATGACGTGAACGCTGAAGACAAATCCGTAGGGACATATTTTTTGCAAAGCTTAATGTCTTCAGCGTTCCCGTTTATATACAATGACATGACGTGAACGCTGAAGACAGAACCGTAAAGAAAGTCCACCATTAATAGTGCCAGGAATCTGACAGACTCGTATTCATTCATTCATCGAGCATGCAGTGAAATATAAAGTAAAGCTTACCCGGATAAAACTATGTTCAATCTGTTGATAAGCATAAGGATGGGCATATAAAATACTTAATACGACCATAAACTACCTAATAGTTTCCGACAGGTAAATAATTCAGCACCTGGCCGCCATTTACTTTTACTGGTTAATTTGCACGGACACAACCGCTTCTAACCTTTTTATAAATAACATTTTTAAAGATATTGAAAAATGTGATTTACTGACTTTTGTATTCAATACAATTTTATTTAAGTAATAAAAAATAAAGAAAATGAATAAAAACATTGTCTTGAAGTATAAGTATTGATTTGTGTCAACAAAGATGTTCTAAATATAGTACATGACTCTAAGAGCTTAACTCAGTACAGGACTGGAGCAGAACTTCTAGACGCTTGCACAAATCATGATCACAAACAATAAAAACAAATAGCGTTTTTTTTCGCCGATTCTTACACTTTTAATTCATCATCATACATAAATTAAATGGTAAAGATTGATATAAAATAGTTGTCTTATCGCAAAATGCACAGGAATTAATAGGGCATTTCCAAATAAAAATAAGGTTAAATCAACGTATGTTATTATGGTTAAGTTTTGTAACTGGTCTCATACAAAACTTTAATACTGCATCAAATGAAAAACAAACAATATTAAAAACCGGCTTTTGAAGTTTGGGAAGCCAGAATTATTCTTTTTGCATAGCAAAAGATTGTATATCTTTTGAGATATTTAGCGTTGTCATAGTATGTACGAAACATTGGTTTTGCTACCTAAAATAACGTGGGTGTCTTCTCGAATCTAAATCATTTACATGTACATGCACTTGAACTGGCTGACAGAAGGTCCGTAGTTCTATCCGGATATCAGCTTCTGCCTTAATACAGTTATTCAATTAACTAGGCTAACGGAATGTCCATTGCATTACCCGGATATTAGCTCGTGCCTTAATGATTCAATTAACTATGCGTTAAACTATGCGACTGGAAGGTCTGTAGTTTTACCAGGATATTAGCCCCAGTCTTAATAGTTCAATAAAGTTTGCGAACAGAAGGGCCGTGGTTCTACTAGCGCATCAGTTTGTCTCTAAGTATTCATTTCAGTTAGCTTACGGAAGGTCCGTGGTTCTACTCGGATGTCCGCACGTACCTAAATATTTTTTCAGTGTGCAGAAGATATGTTTATTTACTCCGACAATCTGCTCCTGCCAAAATCTTACATACGAGATATCCAGTTTTTGTGTCTCTACATAGACAAAACAGGACTAAAAACATCGATGTTACTTGGAAAATAAAAAAAACTAGTGTTAGAATTAAATGCTGCTGTCTAAAATGTTATATTTTGACCCACTCATTTCTCATTTCTTCTTCTTTTTCCAGAAAAGGAGCTTCAGTAAAACTACAGTGACAATGATGATAAAGCTTTTACGAGAATTCAATATTAAGACTTGACCCCTGGTTCCTTACAGAAACATACGCGAAAGAAAATTGCTCTTAAATAGTTTCGTATACTCTTCTGATTACTGGCTAAACCGGAAACAGCCTAGCAAACTTTTTGGAATTTACATGTTAAAAGATATCACCACCAAGGCTGCTGTCAAATATATTCCTGAGTTACTTCAAAATAGGTATTGTGAATTACAGTCATACCGTAAAAACTTAAAACAAAATTCAAGGTGAAAATCCGTATTGATTTAAGAAAATCTTATTGAATTAATTTTATTATTTTACTGAATATGGGACATAAAGTATAGAGGGATAAGCAACTACAGACTGTATTAAGTGTCTTATGTTGGCATCAAATGACAGCCGATCTTCGATAGAGTTTAAATCATATAATTATGCTGCAACTGTAAAACAAAATATTGACAAAATATTGTAAAAATCATTAAGATACTAAAGAACGATGAAATATTTAACCATTTGCTTTATACTTTTCTTATTTACACTAATAACAACTGATAAAAATATACCCGTTTACAACTATCAAAAGGACAAATTGGGGACTGTCTGGGCGGAAAGATAACGTAGATGTAGTGCTAGTCTCAAGTTGCTTGTCCCATTATATTTTGTTCAAGATGCAATGAAAACGGATGTTACATATGTACTGTGTTATAAGAGTTATTATCATTTTATTTATTTAGATATGCATGTATAAATTTCTTCTTCAATTTAAGAGTCAAATGATTCAACAAGAATAATTAGACAAAAACTAATTTATTATAAGATTACTGTTAAATGTGACAAAGCATACACTTATAGTGTAATTTATTGAATTTTTGTAATGTAGTTTGATTTTCCTCTTTTTTATTGCTTTTTTTCTGCACAAACGATTGCAGTGGTGCCATTCGGAAACTTTGAAAGGATGCTTCCAAAAGAAAATATGACAAATTTGTACAAGTTTGCTTTTTCTGATATCTCAAATGATTTTTCAAAATTGTGTAATTGTACATAATATAGATGTATATTAATAATGTATTATTAGTTATAATGATTTTGCCATGTTACACGCACGTAGTGTCCCAGGTTATACATTTATAACTATTTATATAGCGCATAATACCTGTAGAAATTTTTTCTAACTAAGTACATTTTGTATATAACCCTTCAAAATCTCCTTATAAGATCCTTGCATTCAAGGAAATAGAAATCATGATTTATTCTGCTAAGTTGTTTTTATCAGTAGATTGTTTGTCTGTATACATTAAAGGCCCATTCAGCTCCAAAGAGCTAATTTCTTAACTTTTCATTTTTGCCATCACTTTTGGCCATTAATAGGTTAACTATATTAATTTTTGCTTCTTTGTGATACAAGTGGTATACCACACTAAGTCGAATTATATGTGTGTACATAATTATGCTAATAAAACAATTTTCAAACATCGAAGAATATGTAAAATATATACTGCAAATATTTGTGCATATAATATGTAATCATTCACATATATGCATTTATTTCTTATGGTAAAATTTGACTTAAATTTATGGAAAATAGATTTTTATCACCTCCCTTTATTTACATGAAATATTAAATTCGTAATATCTTTATAACAAATGCTTTTTAGAAGCTACAATATTGATGAATCTTAATTTAAGCACCAAATTTAAAATTTTAAACCATAAGAAAATTGTGTAACAGGATCTTTAATTACCGGTATAATGATTTAGTATTTTCTATGGATTTTAACAAAACTACATGTATAGTGTTTACATTTTGCTACCTTACAACACATAACTGTAGAATTACCTTTAGTTTCTTATGTTGTTTTACATCTACCATAGACTAGAGAGCTACTCTTAATCCATTATTTAATATTATTGAACTGTCTAAATAACATCAAGTATATAATTTCTATGTCTGAGGCATTATGTGCCCTTAAGATACAAATTTGTGCATAATCTCATTTATTTGAAAATCCATGTTCTAGTTAGTTTTGATGGTTTGTTTCAAGGCCCATAAAGCTTCAAATATGCTATCATTTTTGTTTAAAAAAACCTGTTCATTTGTTAGGCATCTTATACATGTAACAGTTTTAAATGACATACTCATTAGCTTAATAAGAATTTTCTTTTGTATCTTTAATATGTTAGCAGTTTGCATAATTATAGTAAATAAGTAATTTGTATGGAAGTTAAAATACTACTGTATTAGTTTTATGTTACTGTGATATTGTCTTATTTGTCAAATTATTATGTTTAGATATGCATTTATTCAGGGGACAGAAAATGATATTATTTTCGATGCAGTAAAGAAGGTTTGTTAGTTTTTAGACTAGACCTACTTACATTCAGATAACACAATAAGAAAACATTTAAAATAATTATAAGAAGGCATTCTACTTTGATGAATTATTTGTTTTTTTTTTTCATTTTTTTAATTATAAAGACAACTACAGACAATTTCAACATTTTTATTTTACAAACGATGGAATGTTAACATGTTACTATGACGTCAAATGTGACGTCATTTCATCATACATGTTGTCCAATACATAAGGAATATTGACAATACTGTATATATAATAGTTTCGTCTAGTACAGTATATACTCGTATATATTGTTAGCATATACTGTACTAGACGAAACATGATATTAAAGGGTCGAAAAACTGCTAAGGACCGGAAACTGCTAGGACACCATTACGTCACATGGTTAACCTATGATGACGTCACAAAGCGGCAATGTAGACGGAAAATGTAATGTGACGTAATGGTTTCATAGAGAATATTCAAGTTATTTTTTCTATAACAAAAACACGATATATTTTCATGGAGTGATATGAAAGTAATTCACGAGAGGCAGTAGCTAACTTCAGTGGAAAAAATAAAGTGAAAATATTGAAAATGAAAATATGCGTTCTTTTTCAGCAATTGTTTTTCAATAATTCATTTTGAAAGTAAATTCATTATATAAGTAAAAAATAAATAATTATATTTATTACATATCAAATATAAGAACAGTTCATTATAGTTGGCATTTTTATTACCTGGCCTACGAGTACAGTGTAACGCTAACATTTT